TCAGCTGCTGTGTGGACATGGGGCACCCAGGGGCAGGGGAGGAGGTGGGGAGAGTACTTGGGAGGCTGTGCAATCATCCAGGCATAAAGAAATAACGGCCTCTGTGGGCGGAGAGACGGGTGGCGGGAAAGATGGAAAGAGGCAGAAGAAAGTTGTCTTTTGTTTTGAAACACTTGACTAAAAGAGGTTCAAAGTGGTACGACAGACACCTGTATACTCAGCCCCAGAATCTGCCACGAGCGCTGTCTCCTTCATTTATTTCTGTGTGAGTGACTCGTTCAAAGCCCCGGCTCTGGGTCTCCTGCTGCAGTTTCTGCATCTCTTTTAAGATCGGATTACCCTCCGCGACCTTGTCGTCACCCACGGTTCCAGGCACCCCCTCGATTTCCACGTCCGGGGCTTCCAGCGGAGTCGCACTGCTGCCTCACAGCGGCTCCCCTCCTGCTCCTCCCGCCTCGGCGGTCACGCCAGCGCTCTTCCTCCTCCCAGCCTCCCCGAAGGCACTGAACAGGCTAGAAACAGGCCGCGGGGACAATACTTCATGGTGTCATCTCGCACTTACTGCTTCATTCACTAAAATGCAAATCCCATGGCAGCAGGGGCTTTGTCTCACTCATTGTGTCGCCAGTGCAGTGCCTGGCTTCCAGTCGCCCAATGTGTGGCTGAGTTAAAGAAGATAAACTGCTGGCCTCCAATCTCAAGTGGCCCTTGATGCTGGAAGGCGGTTCTGCATTTCCCAAGGATTCCCTCTTCTCTCTTCTGAGCCTGCTTCCTTCTTAAGTTTCCTGGGATCCTTGATGCCCCTCCCTTTCACTCAAGAAGGCGATCTCTCTTATCCCCATGGAAACAGCACAGTCTGCCGAGCTGTCGTCTTCTCTGCCCCCGCACCGGCCACCAGCAACCCTCCAGCAGTCCTCCTGCCTCGGCCTCCGGAGTAACCAGTCGCGCCACCGCACCCTGCTTATTTTTATTTTTTAAATTTTTTTGTAGAGACAAGGTCTGGTGGTGTTGCCCAGACTGGCCTTGAGCTACTGGGCTCAAGCAGTCTTCTTGTTGCGGGAAAACAGGGAAAACAGAAACCGTGGTACTGAGGCTCTCTTAGGAAGTAGCAGTTTATTGGCACCGGTGCAAATCTGCGGGCAAATGTTCCCAGGCTGAGCAACCTGGTGAAAGAGGAGAGGGGTTTCATCTGTTAGTTTAGGTAAGGAGAGGGTTGGGTTGTATGACTATACAATTTTTTTTTTTTTTTGAATTTGCAAGGTGGTATTTAGCAAAACCAGATTTTTAAAGAACAAATTGTCTCCAGTGTATACATGATAAGCTGGGGTTGTAAACCGCTCAGGTCACAAAGAGAGGGTGTGGGGGTATGGTTGTGAATGGATGACTATCTTGCATTTTCAGGAAAGCGACCTTTGACTGTTTGGTATTCTCAAGCCCCGTGTCTAGCAGGTCTGGAGCTTGCCAGTTGATTTTTAAAAGGAATGATTTTACCTGTTTTCAGCCCCTCTCTGCCACACCCTGGCCTCAGCCTCTCAAAGGGCTGCGATTATATAGGTGAGAGCCACCACACCTGGTCCACTTCATCATTTTTTGAAAGTCACATCCCTAATTTTTCTTTCTCTGTTTTTTGGTTGTCGTTTGTTTTTTCTCATTTTGCCAAATTGCATCTCCCAGCAGTTAGCTGAGAAAGGGGTTTTTTGGTTTGTTTTGGCTCTTTGTCTGCTTGAAGACATTTTTACACCTCCTCCCTCCAACTTGATTGAAAATTTGGCTAGATATAGAATTCCAGGTTGAAAATTATTTTTTTTTAGAATTTTGAGGGTGGTTTGATATTCCGTCCACCATTCTTCCTGCTACCTATGTGATGCCGTCTGCTTCCTTTTTGTGTGTGACCTGTTCATTTTACCTGGACATGTTTAAAACTTCCTTTGTGTCATTGGTGTTGGGATGTCTGCAGCCTGAGTGTGTCCTTCAGTTACACTGGGCCCTTGCTTGCCTTTCAGCCTGGGAGCCTGTGTGCCCTGTCTTAGTCCTTTCTTTTCTCTGCTGTCTTTCTAAAGCTTGTGAGCTGTGCGACATGCCACCAAAACTGATCTCTCTGGTGGTCTTTTCCTTTCTGTCGCTCTGCCCTTTGGAAGAAGTCTTGGTTTTTATTATTGTTACTATTTGGATTTCAGATGTTGCTTCCTCCGTCTTTTCCCTTCTTGGAGCGGAGCATACTGCTGCTCTCCTCGGAACCCCACTGCAGGTGGCTGAGAGACTGGCCCAGGAGACTGCTAGAGCCTGCGTCCCAGCCCACTCACCAGCTGAGGCTTGCCATCTTGGGCACACAGAGGAGTGTCCAGCATCTGTCTCTTCTCCTTCAGGCAGGGATGGCAGCAGCCCTGCTTCTAGGGCTGTTAGAAGCTTAGCTGGGTTAGTGCAGGGCTTGTGTGCAGTTAGAATAGCACCCGGCTCCTTGTAAGCACTCAGCCAGACATTGGGAATGTCATGATTCAAAGTAGGTATTAGCTCCATGAGGACGTTAATTGTTGTTCCTCTGACATGTTGTTGATGAATCTCTCTGTTTCCTTAAGTTCCTTCTTTGTTTTGGTAACTTCTCATGGTGAAGATGTTTGTTTATGTTTGAGTGTTTGTTCATTTAAAACCTGTTCGGGTTTAGGAGTGGAGCAGAGCTGGGTTCTGGGAGCAGGGGCCTTCTCGGCAGGAGGACCTGGTTGGTCACATCTTCGAGGATCTCACATGTTTGATTGCTGAGGCCCTTTCTCCTGCACCTTGGCTTTCAGAGAGAAATCCTGGGGATGATGGGAATGCTGCACTCCTGGCAGCCAGTGCTTGAAGAAGAAGTGAGAGTAGCTGCTCCCACCTGATAGGAAGGGATTGGGCAGTGACTTGGGGACCAGGCCGTTCTGTAGAGACGTTATGCTTCTCTGTGCCAGCCCCTTGCTGCCCTCCACAACGCTGAAGCTGCCTCACAGAGATGTCGTTTCAGTTCTGACAACTTATGTCAGGAGAGGAGATGAACACATGTACACAAGGTCACCAAGTTCAACGGGAAGTCTGAGATGGACTCTTAGGGCTGCCGAGGGCATGTCAGGGTTTTGGCGGTGAGCTAAACATTTAGTAAGGACTCTGCGTCAGCCCGGCAGCCACCTAGCGGCCAAGTGCTTCAGTGTGCACTCTTGCAGTGGAGCCTGTCTGACTGGGAAGAGACCTGATGCCGCCTGGGACAGCCAGAGTCGGCAGGCTGTGCTGCAGGTAGGGGCTCCCCATGACCCAGGCAGGAAAACGGAGGCAGAGTTAAGGCATGGTGAAGTGCATGGTGGTTTTGAAATACTCAACTCAGTGCCCTCAGTGTCATGTTTATGCTTCTAGCATCAGTCTGGTTATTTGAAATGATATTCATCAGATTAAGTTGATGTTGATAATTTAAATTTTATTGGTTTTGTAACTGTGTGTGTTTAGTTTGTATATTTATTTTTACTTTAGAACTTGCTTAAGCTCTACAGAGAGTATTTATAATTTTAGGTTCATACATATTTGCATAGCTTAATGAAAATTATTTCTCAACAGGAGTTCCTCTTTTAAAAGATTTAGTCCATTCTCATTAAGGTTTGAAAATCACTGACAGCTAGAATACTATTAATTATATAATATTGTGCACCCTCTGGGTATAAATGACATAAATTTAGTCCTTTATCCAAAACAAAGTATTTTAGTTTTATTTAAGCAAATTAGGTTATTTTGGGTAATTTAAGAGTGACTGACTCTTCTAAGGAGAAGTAACCTAATCCTTTCCCCAAGTCTAACTGAAGATCTTTAAAAAGGAAAACAAAAAATTTCAGGACAGGGATTCATCTGTGAAGTCAAGGACAGTGCCAGCACTGTAGAGCTGGTTCTGCAGATGTTTGCAGAAATCCTCAATTGAGAACTATGTGATCCCAATGTTTGTGTAGACCTTTAAGGATTGTCTTAGTATGGCCGCTTTTCAGAGGAAGTTCTCAAGCAGCTTCAGCTTTTGGGTCCATTTCTTATTAGTAGGTGAGCTGTTTACATTAGCCATTTAGTAGTTTGTCTTCCTCTTTTAATGATACTTGAGTGTGTAGAAAGGTCACTCTTGCAGGCTTTTTGAGTGGGTGCCCAGCAGCAGGAGGGATTTTGTAGGGTCAGGCCATTCCTGAGGCCAGTTGTGGTCACAAGACAAGCTCAGACCAGCCCCTTTGCCGTATGCCTTGCCCTCTTCATTCAGCACACAGCACCACCAAGCTGCAGAAACCAGTTCCTCCAGAGACCATCATGGAACGTTTCCCTGAAAGTGTAAAATCTTTGTCCGGCTCACAGACCTGGATATTTTTCTTGGTTTCATAGTCTGTGATAAATTCAGATCCATTCTCCTAACCCAAAGGTTTATAGCCTCAGGGCACCTAAGGGCTTCCTTCCTGCTTATTTTTGTTTGTTCTACCCTGTGGTCTTTACCTCTGTTGAGCTGATGATGTCTAGGCTCTAGGCATTAGGTAGCTCAACTATTTCCCTCTTGTCTTAGTTGGTAATGATGTCGTCATTATCAATGGGAATAACTATCCAGCAATGAGATAGAACCTGTACTGTCTGTAATATTTTGTACAGAAGCCAACAGAAGTTACTGCAGAGAATATTGAAACATTTTGACTACTACTATTTGTAAGAATCAGATTTCTTTTAAAAGTTAATATTAGGCATGCATTATACAGTTAGGTAACATACTTCTAGGCCCTATTTTTTTCTTTTAAAAATTAATTTTCTAAGTTTCTGTCCTTTATATCAAGACAACACGGTCTAGATAAATCCTGGCGTACCAAGAGTAAAACTCATAAATCCGTCTATACTGGTAGGTTCTCTGCACCAGAACCAAGAAATGGCCACTTGGTAATTACAAGTTTGCCATGAAATTTTTGCTTTATTTGAGGAGAAGGTTTTATATGTGTTTATCTTTCCTGTGATCATTTTTACTGATTTTTAAGATATGGTGACTCTTCCCCAAAACATAATCTGGTAAATTGCTTCTGTATTTTATTGACAGCTGACATCATTTCAACCGTTGAGTTTAATTGCTCGGGAGATCTTCTTGCAACAGGAGACAAGGGCGGCAGAGTTGTTATTTTTCAGCGGGAACAAGAGGTCAGTAATTTGCAATCCACAAACCAAATGAGGTAATTCAGCCTTTCTCATCTCACTTGGAAAGACAGGGCAAAATTATTTTCTCGGTGTCTAATTTCATTTAGATTCAGCTATGTCACATTAACCACATCGACTCTTGTTTCAGAAATTATCTCCAGGATGGTTGAGAAGATTTGTATTCTTGTTCTTTCACCTCCCGGTAGTCTCGCTGCTGAGGCCCGTTGGGTCTCCAGTGCCTTCCTCGTCAGAGGAGGAGATGTTCCAGAGGGCTCCAGGAAGGATGCAGTGCCGTGGGGTGTTCTGCACTGTGCTCTCCCTTGGCCGTGAACTCGAGGGGCTCTCTGTGACAGTCCCTTTGCGAGCACCAGGGGGTGCTGTGGCGCCTCCTCGGCCCTGAGGTGGGGGGGTGGGTTGCAGGGTGCCCTGCAGCGAGCAGCTCCCTTCCTGCTGAGAGGTTGGGGTGGACCGCCCTCTCCCCTCCCCCGGAAGCGGTGGGCAGCACTCCCGCCACACGCCCTCTTCCGGCCTGAAGGTCCTCCTGCCCGAGGGGAAAGGCGCCCACAGACAAGGCCTACTCATAAGTGCTGGCCGTAAGGTCGTTTCTCTTTCGGCAGGCAGGGGCAGGTTTTGCTCCTTTCCCCCAGCCGTACGAAGGAGGATGGGAGATGGAGCCAGCCTGGCCGAGCCCCCCACCCTGCCCCGTTGTTTCTGGCGAGGCTCCACGGAGTTCTTAGTGACGGGAAAGGAGGCCAGAGAGTTCTCTGTTAGGCAGGGGTTCCAGGAGAGCCACCATGCAGCCCAGCCTGGGCTCTCTTGGATACTTTGCCTTTTCCTTGGCAGATAGATCATCAATAGTGCTCCTCGCCCTTCCCAACTTGGTGTTTCCCAGCAGACAAACGTAAGGCAGCTGCCTTTCCGCCTCCAAATGCCAGCTCCTGGATTTTTGTGCCACACTTTGGTCTCGAGGCCCGAAGGCCCTTGTTCCCTCTGTGCAGCTCTTCTGTGCACAGGAAGCACGTTGCCCCCATCCCCACCCAGAGGGGATCCTGAGGAGTCTGCAGGAAGTGGTTCCTGGGCCTCCTGGGAGAGAGAGGTGTGGTGCTGGCAGATCTCCTAAGCAGAGGACACCTACCTGCGGCTGCTCCGATTTGGACTGTGTCCATGCAGTTAAATATATTTTTTAATCCTGTGTTCTCTGATTTGGGATGGTGAGAATTTTTTTGTGAATAATGTGTGTATTATCATCACTCTTTCTTGATCTTCACAGACATTTTAATAAATTTTAAATTTTGCATTCTTATCCCAGAGGTAGAATATCATGTACCAGGTTGGGTGTGGTGGCTCACGCCTATAATCCCAACACTTTGGGAGACTGAGGTGAGAGAATTGCCTGAGCCCATGGGTTCGAGACCAGCCTGGGCAACTTGGTGAGACCTCATCTCTATAATGAATCAAAATATTAGCTGGGTGTGGTGGCGCATACCTGTAGTTCCAGCTGCTTGGAAGGCTGAGGGGAAAGGATCGCCTGAACCCAGCAGGTTGAGGCTGCAGTGGCTTTGAGTGTGCCACTGCCCTCCAGTCTGGGTGACAGAGTGAGACTCCAACTCAAAAAAAAAAAAAAAAGAAAAGAAACATGTACCTTACCTTTTTCAACAGAAGTAAGAATGATCTTACTTTTAGCAGAAGGATTATTTACAAACTGTTGAGGCATAGCTGTCTTAAATTTTATTTCTCTTTTATTTAGCTCCTTATGGAAATTTGCCATTACAGTGATATTCTTATGGAAGATACTCCATTACATTTCTCAACAGGTCTTATGATTGATAATGACATTTTTTTAATTGTCAGATGGGTAATGTGCTGACGTCATAACAAGATTTGAAGGCACATCTCATAACACATGTGTGTGAATACCCAGTGATCATCCCTAAGGAACTACAAAAGGATCTTGATAATGAAATTTTTCTTGTTTGTGTGGATCATTGCTGAAACCTAAGAAATACCAGCCTCAAATCTTTTTTTTTTTTTTTAACTAGAGATGGGATCTTGCTATGTTGCCCAGGCTTGAACTCCTGGGTTCAAGCAGTTCTCCCACCTTGACCTTCCAAAGTGCTGGGATTTCAGATGTGAGCCACCACACCTGGCCCCAGCTTCAAAACTGAAATAGAGTATGATAAAAGGTAGGCCTATTATAGAGTTTTAAGTTTTTATTTAAGATGTATTAAGTCGTTATGTGAAGTGACAGGTTTGTAATGGAACAGGTTCCATGAATTGTTTAAATTCAATAAACACAGTCAACTGCAATTTAATAAATCCCAGGCAACCTTTTTTCCTTTTTTCTTCATAGTTTGGTTAACATATGAAGAGCTTTCTTATTTCATCTGCATTAAAATATTTTACTGGTTTCCATGTATGCCTCTCACTGTGGACTTGAATTTTTCCAGTGTGGATAAGGGGTATAAACTTATATTTTCATCTGTAATCAAAGATGCCATTGATGGTATTGCAGCACCACTACGAAGGTGAAACTGCTGCCAGTTAAACTACCACAGCTCTCAGAAGCTGCATCAAGGGAAAAAAATGTCCATTTTAGAGTCAATGGAGCATGAAGGATTGCTGAAGGATAGTGCCCCGCCAGGTAGCGGAAGGTGCCAGACGTTAGATAGAGGAGTCCGGTCTATAGAGACCCTTTGGAAAGTTCTGGCTGTGCATAAGACAGGAAGCAGAAAGCTCAGTTCACATTGTGACTTTGAGTTTTTCTTGTTTTGGGCGGCGGAACTGTCCGTCCACATTGTCTTGCAGGGACGCCCAGCAGGTAGAAACTGAGACCGTCTGAGGGTGTAGCCCTGCAGCACACAGGCCTCTGGCTCAGCTCTGCCTAGCTCTGCGGCCCCGAGTCCTCCAGGCCGTCCCCTCCACCCGCCACAGCGTGCGATCTGTTTGAGCAGCTCCTCTGGTTACGTCAGAAACCGGCACATCCCAGAGCAGGAGCATATCCACCTTTTCTTGTTCCGGCTTGTTGTCGTGCTCCTGGGAGCTCAAGCTTTCAAGCCTCTCCTCCCTCCTGCTTCCTGCCAGTGAGGCGTCCCTCAGAATCCCTCTCCCTAGAGAGGGTGGGCACTCTGTAAGGCTAATGGGGAAGGCTGGGCTGGGATTTGGGCTGTCTGTGGTAAGAGGTAGCCGTTGGTGGCAGGTAGACAAGCCTGCAGCCCAGTCCCCACTGGTTCTTGGGGAGGACGGCCAGGGCAGTACTGGCAGCACCTTGGCTCTGGTGTGTTGCTCATTTGCTTACCTTCTGCTGCTTTTTCTTGGCAGGTGACGGCCTCAGAGAAGGGGCTACCTTGATTCTACACTCTTCTCTTTTTAAACAGATGAGGTGGACCGGTGTGTGGTGTGCTTTTGTGTCGAGTGGGTGGGAGTGACTGGAGGAAAAGGGCTTCCACAGCACCCGCCCCACGTGCACGTGTGGGAAGGTCAGGGGGCAAGGAGCATGCCCGGCGCCTGCCTGCCAGGCTGCAGTTCCAGGATCGTGCAGGACATGGAACTCAGTTCAGTGGAGAGATGTGGGTCGTTTCTTGGCGTGCCTTCTCATCTTTTTTTAAATCTAGCTCAGATGTATAAAGGAGCATCTGTCTGGACATAAGAGTTTGCTTGGTTTAATTTCTCGGGCATCCTTACTGAAGTGTTAAAAATGCACCATTTCAGATATTGTTATAGACCAAGAACCAAAATACTGGTGTCCTTGATTTTTAATTATGAACTGTTTAATATTTATTGAAAATTTCATCCTGGACATACAGAAGATTGAAGAGATCAATATTAAGATACCTGTGAGCCCACCACCCAGGTGTTATTTCTTTATAAAAGGAAGGAACACACATGGGATACAGAAGAAGCTCCTGTTGTTCCTGCTCCCATTTCATTCTTTCATCGTCCTCCCCATCTTTCTTTGTTCCCCCTCTGCCTTCCCAGGGGTGCTTATTGTTTTGAAGATGGTATATATCTTCCAAGCATGTTTTTTCCTACTTTTACTCTAACATAGAGAATTGTTTTGTGCGCAGCATCTTTTCTGGGTATCTCAAAATGGCTTGCTGCTCTTAGACAGCACTGTGGGAATTGTCCAAGCTGTATATTTATCCTGTTTTCCCTCCTCTGGCTGGCATGTGGGTGTGTCTGGTTCATGCTGCAGTGATAGTGCAGCCACATGGCTGTGTCTGGTTCCTCGGGAGTCTGTGACAGCTCTTCTCCAAAGCAGACTCAGCAGAGACTTTCTCTCCAGAACAGGTTGCAAATGATTTTGCCTATGCAGGCCATGCGGCCCTTTTCACAACTACTCACCTCTACCTGGATAGTGCAAAAGCTGCTAGAGACAATCTGTACTCACCTGAGCCTGCTTGTGTTTCAGTAGAACTTTGCATACATATGGCAGTCTGAATTCAGCAGATTCTGCTTAGAGCATGTTCTGACATACATGCCTAGAAGAGTTAGGAAATAGAATTAATGTGCTGGGGAAAAAAACACAAAAGAAAGACTGAGTTTTACCTGTTTTTTTAAAGCCAAGATTTTTAAAACATGTACATGCTCATTTGATGTTCAAATGGATGTTGCTGAAATGTTCTCTTCACTGTGCTTCATTCCTTGAAACTTCTGTCATGTTTCCCTTGCAGAACAAAAGCCGCCCTCATCCTAGGGGAGAATATAACGTTTATAGCACCTTTCAAAGTCATGAGCCAGAGTTTGACTATTTGAAAAGTCTGGAAATTGAGGAAAAAATTAATAAAATTAGGTGGTTACCACAACAGAATGCTGCTCATTTTCTACTTTCTACAAATGGTAAGAATTACTTTTAAGTGGCTGTTTAATTTAGTATTTTATTTTTCGTTTTCTGTGTGTGTATTCCTCTTTATTTTAGAAGTTTTTTCTTCTGCGTTCTGGGGGGAGGGCAAGTTATTAGCCAGGGTAGTGATAGCTTGAAAATCCAAGGTATGCAACAAAAACCACACACACACATACCCCATATTGTGTTACTCTACTCCGCATACGTTTTCACACCTTTATTGTACAAAACAAAGTGTTATCTATAGTTGGAAATATGCGTGTTCAAAGACCCCATGGAGTTATAAACCAACATAGGGCCACACAGTTTTCTAGTATAATACTCAAATAATAATGATGCCTGTTATAGTTTTTCTTTTGATATGGAGAATGAGATTTTTTATTTTCAGATAAAACTATAAAATTATGGAAAATAAGTGAGCGGGATAAAAGAGCAGAAGGTTATAACTTGAAAGATGAAGATGGACGACTTCGAGATCCATTTAGAATTACAGCACTACGGGTATACATTGCATTTTCTTTAAACCGTCCAATATTTTTCAGACTTATTCAAGAATAATGCTTAGGTCTGCTGTTTAGAGAATGCTGTTAAGTGAGATATTATGAGATCTGCCCTCTTGGTTCATGAAAGTTATTTTTAATAATAGTAATCGTTCGTGTGTGTGTGTGTGTTTAAAGCAAAGGATTTCTCATTTTCACAAAGGCAAAAAGTCATACATCATCCTCAGAAAACACAGCAATACTAAGGGAAAAACATGTAATTATGTGACAGAAATCTTTCTGAATGTACCAGCCACCTTTTATTCTAAAGGTTCACAATGGCACCTGGGCAGGTTGAAGCTCAGAAGGGGTTTAGAGCACTTCCTGGGCGAAATAATGTAGATTGTAGTGTGTTTCGTAAGTGGGGGCTGAACAGTGGATGGACATGGACATGCAAGTAGAATAACAGACATGGGAGACTACAAAGAGGGGGTGAGAGTTGACCAGTTACCTGTTGGGTGCATGTTTAACTCTTCCTGGTAATAGGAACAATAAAATCCCAAACATCACCGCTACACAATATATACATGTAAGAAATCTGCTCTTGTGTCCCTAAATATATAAAAATAAAAACTTAAACCCTTAAAAAAGAATGATAACATTGGTTGCAAGTTGAAAGATAAACTTATGGACCATCAAGATACATTAATGATGGTTCTTGTGGAATTTCCTTTGAGTTCACTTAGGCAAATACTGCTGTTTCTGAATTTTTCATCTGTCAATCCATGAGCGTCATTACTTTTTATTAATTGTGAAATTCTTTACTCCCTTTTTGATAGTTGCTGATGCAGTTTGAGATGAGCATATTTCTTTAATTCTAATACTTCACTGTCTTATAATTGGCCTGGTACTGCACACCACTGATGGTGTTTTAAAGTAGATGAAATATGGTGAAGGGTGTTAGATAGACTGGACTCGAGCCCCAGTCGTGTCTTGGTGAAACTCCAGAATGCAGAAAAACCAGCAACCCGTGCAGAGGCATCTGGAAGGAAACCCTGCCTGGTTCCAAGGGAGTGTTGCTAGTATATATGAAAACGGTTGGTTGGCTTTTTAATGAGATTCAAACCTGTTACTCTTGTTTATCAAATGAATAACTAGTTAGTGAACCCATTCCAAATCAGTAGTCGAGGCTACTACAAGAGAAGGACACTGTATTGCAGAAACAGTCCCTGACATGTGCGCTTCCAAGGCAAACCCACGGGGCCCAGAGTGTGCGTGGTCTGTTCTGCTGTCATTTCCTGAACACTGATGTATGGGGTGCTGTGCATGGGGTGTGGTTGGGGTGCATGTTTCCAAGGGGGAGGGTCCTGCATGGACCTCTTATGTTGGTATTGTCACTGTAAGGGGGGACACACCTCATCCACAATGGTGCCTGCATAATGAATGTTTATATACCTAACCCTGAATCGTACTCCACTTATTTAAAATTAAAAAATTTGAAATCCAAAAAAAAAATCAAGAGGGACAAAAAAAGATATTATCATTGTATTTCGCATGAGTTCATTCAGGCTGAGAAAGGCTATGTCATTTTCGTAAAGTCTAGTTTTTGGACCTTAGTTTGAACCAGCGTGTGTTGTTCCGAAATGTTGGTGATTTCTAACACACAGCGCTGCTACTTTTGCATTCATGAATTAGTGTAAATCACCTTTAGTGACAATAACACTAGTTTTATGGTTCCATCATGTAAGCTGCTGATTCTAGACGAGAAGCTTTATGGAACAGATAAGACCTTGGGTACCCTGAGGGCATGCATGCATTTGATCCTGCTCTAGCCTTGTCCATCTCCTCTGGCCACTATCACCTTCCATCCAAGTATGTGTGCACACCCCAGGAACCCTAGTTTCACCTGATCAGACCCCCTCCACCCTCTATCACCCCATGAGCTCACGTGCTTATTTTGAAAAAACAATAGGTCTTTATGAGGCCCAATTGTAGTTTTATTCATGACTGCTTTCATAGGTGGCCAAAGTGAAGGCATATAAGGAGTATACAGAGGGTGCCAAAAAAATGTATACACATTTTAACAAAGGAAAAAACTGTATTAAAATGGTAATAATAATGTGAATACAGGTCACATTTGACTTTTGCAATTACAAGAGGTGCTCAAAGTGGTTACCGTCAGCATCCAGGCACTTCGTATTAACAGTGAACATTGCTTCGAATGTGGATACATTTTTTTTTTTTTACCTGCTAGTTACTTTATTAATCAAGTGTATTGGTAAGAGATCACAGGCCAGGTAGTTCTGTACATTGACTTGGATCCATATTTGAGTTCTTTTACCTCTCTAAGAGTTCAAAACGCGCTATCTTATCTGACCCTGACTGGGAAAGAGTCAGAAATGTTACTGTTCAGAGTTTTTTTGGTTGTTTTAAATTATTTTAGTGCCAGAAAAGGGATGTGATTAAAAGAAGGAATCTTTTTCTTACAAGTATTACAACTGTCGTGTATTTTGGTTAATTAGAGATTTGTTAGAGGGCTGTAGCAGGTGTGATTTAAATCATACATGTCGTAGAACTGACCCTTCTTAGGGAATCCAAGGGTGTGGTCAGTGCTGAATTAAAATGAAGGAAGTATGCTATATGCTATACACACTTTCCCAAGTTCATTTTTACTGAATTTGACCAGAGAAAACTCAGTTGGGAGATTTTTTCCCCCTAGCTTTTGTGGGTCTCCCTTTTGGTGTCTGATTACAAAAATAACAAAAAGAATGCTATCGTTTTGTTTTGATTTTAGAGCTTATGCTTTTCTCCCAGCTGTACCAGTGAGCAGGCCTTTCCCCTTTTTTCATATGTGATACTATTCCTCAGGAGTGAGCTCTTACCTCTGCATTTGACCACAGGCACCCTCTGGTCATCTCCTTTCCATCTTTTCCACTTCAGTGTAACGCTCATCACAGACATGGGTGTGGGATGCGCCTTTTACTTTTTTAACCTTTCATGAAATATAGTACATATACTCAGAAATGCGTCTGCCTTGTAAGTGACCAACTTCATGAGTGTTCACAGACTGAACATTCCATGTTGCCAGCAGCATCTCAAGAAATGGAGTGTCCTCAGTTCCCCAGGGACTCCTGTGCACTCTGCTGTCCCTGCACCCCTCGGAGGCTCATGGCATTGGTACTGAGAAGCAGACCGCTGGTGCAGTGAGAAGGCCTGTGCATCCAGCAGCAAGGAGACAGGACAAATGGAGGTCTTGACCGAGCCTCCCGAGAAGACTTCACTGTCCAGTGACTCGATTGTGGCCCCTGGGGACGCACAGGCAAGCGCAGCTGCGTCAGCCAGCCTCAGTGCCTTGGGGACATTTTGGTAGAGTGCCAGTGTATCTTCTTCAACAAGAATATGTCAACATCAGTAATGGAAACAAGAGGAAAAACTTGGAATAGACAGTGTTCCATTTTGTAGCCTATTTTTACAACTCTACTAATTGGTTGTTTTGGGGGTTTGTGTGTACAGAATTATTACTTGACTGAGTATAGATTTGTCCTTTTAAAATTATCTGCCATACATGTTCTAATTTTGTGCTTCTGTGATCTTTGTTTTGAATTCCTATTTCCTTCCACTTTTAGGTCCCAATATTGAAGCCCATGGACCTTATGGTAGAAGCAAGTCCACGACGAATTTTTGCAAATGCTCACACATATCATATAAATTCCATTTCAGTAAATAGTGATCATGAAACATATCTTTCTGCAGATGACCTGAGAATTAATTTATGGCATTTAGAAATCACAGATAGAAGTTTTAGTATCCTTCAGTTGGTTATTGGCATTTTTCTTAGGATTGTTCTTGAAATAGTTACTTTTCATATTCGTTTATACTCCTTTATCTGAGTCTAGTCTTTTAAATACAGTTTGTAAGACAGTAACCTGTGATTTAAGGTCTCCAGATTCAAATGTTTGTCCTTAAAAATACAAACTTCTGGCCAGATGGGGTACCTTGCACGTGTAATCCTAGCATTTAGGAAGGCCAAAGTGAGAGGACTGCTCGAGCCCAGGAGTTAGAGAGCAGCCTGGACAGCATAGCGAGACCTTGTCTCTGTAAAAAATCAAAACGCAAGCTGGGTGTGGTGGCTTGCGCTTGTAGTCCCACTGCTTTGGTGAGTCTGAAGTGGAGGGATTTCCTGAGTCTAAGAGGTCGCGACTGCAATGAGCTGTGGTCGTGGTCATGCCACTTTGGGTGACGGAGTGAGGCCCTGACTCAAAAAAATAACCCTGTTAATACAAACTTCTTTCTACCTTTGGGAAAAGTTCTTTGTATGGTGAGAATGACCTCAAGTCCACTGCTTGCCTCGTTTGACCAGAGGCAGTTTTAAATAGGCTGTGTTCGAAAAATCAGCACTACGTGTTCTTTTTCCCCTCTGATTTTGAGAATAGAGAATGAATTAGGAAATAATGGCTTAGATTAGAATGAGGCTTATTTACCCAGCTTCATAAGTGACGTCCTGTAAGAATTCTGCATTTTCCCATGGCGCGGTACGTCTGAGCGGTCCCAGGCCTCAGATGGGCTCCCTTCAAGCACGCTGGGCAGCCGCGCGCCCTCCCTCCCCACCCCCTCCCCTCCAGTGACCTGAGCTGGGTTTTCCTGTGGTTTGTTGTCTTTCTAGTTGTTTCAGCTGGAAGACTAAAACTGATCCCGGCTATTTGAAACTAGCCCTCTGCTGAATTCTGTCCTTCCTCTTTTTTTCCTTTGGATGAGTTCTGCATATGGCAGCTACTATGTTGGCCTTGTTCAAGCTCTTAAAGCCAGATAATTGGAAAAGCAAAATCTTTTGGAATTGAGCAGCATTCTTTTGTTGGTAACTGTGTACAGAAATTCCACATATGTGGTGCTTGCTTGCTTTTCTTCTCTATATGATTAAATGTGTACAAAGAACTTTTTGTAGAACATTGGTAGTAGCAACAAGACGCAAGCAGTGTTTGTGTGTCTGGGTCTCCCCGGGTCCAGTGTATCCCTGTGATCTAGTTAATGCGTTCCTCCCAGTCCTTTCACTGGCTGCTGCGCTGGAAACAGCACATGTGATCGGCCTCCTTTCCACCTTATCCCTTGCACCTCACTGTTCAGATTGTTCCGCATCGTATTTCACTTGATTAAGTGTAGACTAATTGAAGCAGCTGAGAACTGCACCTTGACCACGCACTTCCAGACATCGTAGACATCAAGCCTGCTAACATGGAGGAGCTGACAGAAGTCATTACCGCAGCTGAGTTCCACCCACACCAGTGCAACGTGTTCGTCTACAGCAGCAGCAAAGGAACCATCCGCCTGTGTGACATGCGCTCCTCAGCTCTGTGCGACAGACATTCTAAGTGTAAGTGCCTGGTGTCTTTTTGAGATGTCTCATTGAAATCCTTCTGTCTTTCAGACAGTGCCCAGCTCCAAAGACAAGCAGTTTCTTCCTGTCCTCCATATATCGCTGCAAGCATAGGGAACCCTGCCTTGTTGGGTTGTTTTGAACACGGCTGTGTCATAGACTGTCACTAATAAGAAGTGGAACTCAAGGTCATGCTTCCCACAGGTGTATGGTCATGGGGTGAGTGCTTTGGGGCACCACCAAGAGGTTGGTTTACTTCTGCCCAGAGCCTCAGTGCCTCTTCAGAGGCTTCTGGCACTGGGTTCAGCCAAGAAGCATATGTTGCCTCTACCTTTGTGCACTAGGACCTGGCTGAGCTACCAGCACCCATTCAGCTGTGGGAATGAGCTCTGTTCATACTGAGCTTTGCTGGATTGGAAGCCAGTTCCCTGAGCTGAAAGTCTAGTATTTTAATCCACTGAGCCTTGAAGTTCCTTCTAGGTAAGGAAAGTTTTGGTTTTGTTTTTATCTTTAGCCATAAAAAAATAGGCTCAACTCTATTGAAAACCATGGTCGGTGTGTCATGGTGTTGTAGAACCATTGCTGACCGTTCCCCCAGTGCTATCAGACCCATGTCCCGTGACACTTCTCTAACAGGGAAGTCACTGGTCAATCCCCCTACGGTGTTTCACTGTTAAGGTGTACCAACAGTGAATGTGCTGAATGTGCTTGCAGCTGAATGTGCTTGCATACTTTTCTCAACAACTGTATTCTCTCTCCTGAGGCTAAGATGTGATTGTAAGAATTCTGTACTTCCAATGAAGAATAAGTGTCATTTAGCATATATCTTCGAGATAACATTTTTGAGTAAACAGTTTCAGATTCTAAGAATTTGATCTTCAGACTAATTTATTTGAATAAATGCTCAGTGTTGACACAGTTGGCTTTAACTTCAGGTGCAGAGCCAACAGACACACAGGCTCCTGCATTAAAAGAAAAAGTGGCCGGGCTCGGTGGCTCTTTGGGAGGCTGAGGTGAGTGGATTGCCTGAGCCCGCGGGTTCGAGACCCGCCTGGGCAACTTGGCAACACCTCATCTCTACAATAAATCAAAAATTAGCCGGGCATGGTAGCGCATGCCTGTAGTTCCAGCTACTTAGAAGGCTGAGGCAGAAGGATAGCCGGAGCCTAACGGGTGGAGGCTGCGGTGGCCGGGAGTGGCCACTACACTCCAGTCTGGGCGACAGAGTAAGCTCCAACTCAAAAGAAAAAAGAAAAAGAAGAAGTGGTGAGAAGTTGCCTAAAATAAAGGAAACACAAGCCAGATGTGGCTGCATGTGCCTGTATTCCCAACTCCTGAGGGTGCTATGATGGGGAAGGGCAGTCGAGCCTGGGAGTTTGAGGCTCCAGTGAGCTGTGACTGCACCACTGCATTCCAGCATGGATGACAGAGTGTGTCTCTGCCTCTTCAAAAAAAAAGCACACCTCTCCTGGGGTGACAGTCACTAAGCCAAAGGCATGACAGTGTGCTAGGGGACTGAGTGGCCCAGTGGGAGCAGGGATACCTTCCTCCACCACAGCTGGGGGCCCTGTCGAGTTACTGTGGAGAAAGCAAGGTCTGCCAAGGAGGTGCCAGAATCTTTCTGATAGTAGGAATTTAGTTTTATCAGAGTGGACCTTGACTGTTCAGTATTGAAGACAGACTGCTTTTGCTGACCGGCTTTGACCAGCGGGATGATTGTAATGGTTGAAATCTGGACTGTGGTGTTTGTTGTGGGTCATGGTGGTCACTCCAGCTGACCTATAAGCTTCAGCACTCCAGAGAGCAGGAGGTTTCTTAGGCCTGGAGCACTGTGTCTGCATGACCATGTGATACTGTTTACATCTTCCTATGGTATACATGGGGCAGGATTTTATGTGCATGGGCCTGGTGCCATGTGGATGGCAAGATGTTTGTGTAGTAACATGGTAGTTCTGAACTTGGGATTCATGTCCTGAACTTGGGATTCATGTCAGCATGTTCTGAGGAAATTTTATGGATTGCAGTGCCCTCGGCTTTGCCCAGAGAGTCTGGTTTGGAATCTGGGCGAGATTTGGGTGTCTGTGCTTTGACGCCCATCCCTTGCCTGTCACTGGCACTAGAATGTCTTATCTGAAGCTCTTACATCAGAAGTCAAAGGTGATCAGGAAACATACATCAGGAGATTTAGCAGTGTTGAGGCTGAGCCCTGCTGGAATCTCAGCGTGGAGGCGTTTTCCTACTTGAACTTTAAAGTCATTTGTTTTCTAATTTTTAAGCAGAAGCTGAAACATTTTATTCTGTCTTTCAGTTTTTGAAGAGCCTGAAGATCCCAGCAGTAGATCCTTCTTCTCAGAAATAATTTCTTCTATATCCGACGTGAAATTCAGTCACAGTGGTCGGTACATGATGACCAGAGACTACCTGTCAGTGAAGGTGTGGGACCTCAACATGGAGAGCAGGCCGGTGGAGACCCACCAGGTTCACGAGTACCTGAGAAGCAAGCTGTGTTCTCTGTATGAAAATGACTGCATTTTTGACAAGTTTGAGTGTTGCTGGAACGGTTCGGATAGGTAAGGCCCTGGGCGTTAAGGCGAGCAGTCACTCAGCCCGCTGGTTTCCCTCAGTGTCCTCGGGCGTGCAAGGTCAGCGAGGGAGGTGGGATGTAGTCCAGAACTGCAGAGGAAGAATGCGGATAGGATTTTGTTTTCCAGGCCTTTTGTTTGTTTGTGTGCTTGATGATGGTCTCAAAGACAGCAGGATGTCTGCGTCTGTTTCTCACCTAGCTTGCAGTTTCATTTATATTTAGATGGTAGCACTGGCATGTGTTGGTTATTTATAAGATACTTACCGAGTGATGGTTCACTGTTTTTTATTAAGCCCAAGATCAGTGAAGAGGAAAGAAGTGGGAAAGTTATTGGCCTTACGAGAATGGCCACTTTTCTGTGTGCCTTTCCCTTGGAGAGAAGTAGAGGAAAATGCCCCCGGAAGTCATTACCTGCCATGCTTGGACTGGTCTGAAGCTGTTTTAATTTATGAGATGGCTCTGGTACCTTGATCATGTGTTTTGTACACATTTTCAAGGATGAAATTACTGACCGGGCGCGGTGGCTGAAGCCTGTAATCCCCGCACTTTGAAGGCCTGAGTTTAGGAGATTGCATGAGCCCGCAGGTTTGAGAACAGCCTGGGCAACTTGGTGAGACCTCATCTCTACAGTTAAAAAAAAAAATCAGCTGGGCGTGGTAGCATGCACCTGCAGTTCCAGCTACTTGGAAGACTGAGGCAAAAGTATCGCCTGAGCCCAGCAGGTTGACGCTGGGGTGGCCATGAGCATGCCACTGCACTCCAACCTGGGCGACTGAATGAGACTCCAATAAAAAAAAATATATAATATTACTAATGTCTTTGAGAGTTATGTCTTTAATATTATGCAGAAATTACATTTCAGATATTGGAAGATTATCTTGCATCATTTTTACATAGAGTTTTTGTTCAGAATTTAAGTGAACTGGCAATATACAATTGACTAGACATTCTGAAAAACTCATTGGCAAATACCTAGAAGTGCTGGATATGACAACAGATATCTCTTCAGATACATAGTTGAGCTCGCTAATAAGCAAGGAAAATTTCACAACAACCAGAAGTGAAGAGGAAATTGAAACCAGGATGACCGACTCTACAGGCATTCATTCAGAAATGAACTCCAAACCCCTAGGCTTGCCTGGGGACATCACCTGATACCAGGAACCTTCTGCCTCCATGTTCACAGCAGTCATGGTACAGAGCTGAAGGTGTAGAATTGAAACTGAGACCCTCAAGGATTATGAGAGAAGCATCCATCCATTGGCACACGGAGTCCAGAGGAAAGTTTGTCTATCTGAGACCTGGGATTGGGGTGGCCAGAGGTCCTCTGAGATGTGTCACCATAGCCCACAAGGAATTGACGTTTGTGTTTTGTGCCTGCTGCATGATCTAGAAGGTCGTGCTGAAGAGTCACTGTTTCCACATGGGTAGAGTGCTAGGCATCTGGAGGGACAGACATGTCTCTAGGCCTGGGCTTTTGCTCTTTATAAACTCACCTGTTGGCCTGTAGTGTTTCATGGAGGTTGGCTGAAGACAGAAGATTTCTGAGTCCTCTTGGCATAGCAAGCAGCATGAGCCTCGTGTTGGCACGAATTCCCCACGGGGTGACCTGGGGTCCAGGCAGGTGCCATGGAAGCTGTGGGGTTGGCATCACAGCCGTGCACGCTGAGCTTTGCAAGCCTGCTGCTCTTACAAGGAGGAGTAAGCAGATCTGCACTCTGACCGGAGGAGACATGACCTAGTTCCTCCAGGTTGCTCGCTGCAGACATAGCCCTGAGAAGTGACCCAGGTAGAGGGCACCCAACGATCCCGTTCTCAGCAAACCCAGCGGGAACACACATGGTAGAAGGCTACTTCTAGCCCACCCAGTCTCTCTGGATGTCCCCAGATTAAAATCAGTTAAAATGAGCTCACTGGTAAAATTATTAAGCACAAGTCAGAAAAGCTACCATGAGCAAGTTAGTATAACTGAACCTCTGAGAACTCGGACATTGAAATCATAAGTTAAAGAATATAGCATAGCCGGGCTCAGTGGCTCAGCCTGTAATCCTGCGCCTTTGGGAGGCTGAGGTGAGTGGATTGCCTGAGCCCACAGGTTTGAGACCCGCCTGGGCAACTTGGTGAGACCTCATCTCTACAATAAATCAAAAAATTAGCCGGGCTTGGTAGTGCGCACCTGTAGTTCCAGCTACTTGGAAGACTGAAGCGGAAGGATTGCCGGAGCCCAGCAGGTCAAGGCTGCGGTGGCTGGAAGCGGCCACTGCACTCCAGTCTGGGCAACAGAGCGAGACTCCAACCCAAAAAAAAAAAGAAAAGAAAAGAAAATGGAGGGCAGCCTCTGCGGGCCCCCTCCCACTGTAGGAGCTTCTGTGTCCTCTCAATCCTGCTTTTTCACCAGTGGTAAAGATTATAGATAAAAAAAGAAAATGGAGATAAATATCGGGAAGTACAGAGTTGTGGAGAGGTAATATTTAAAGCAATAATGGCCAAGAATTTTCTGTAACTTGTGAAAGATTGAGTACACAGAATCAGGCAGCACAGAAATCCACCTCCATATCATTGAAATTGCAGGACACCAAAACCAAAGAGAAGATCTTAGAAGCAGCCAGGGAAAAACACAAAGTACTTCACCGAGTGGACGTGAGACAGATGAGACTTTGCTGTTGCCACAGTAGAAGCCAGAAGCTAGTTTAATATAATAAATTGTGAGCTTATGACTGTCTTCATTGTACTGAGACAGGGATATTGTCAGCTTGGAATTGTGTGCTGATAAATGGGCATTTAGGGATGCGCTCACGATAAAGGCATTTTCAAGTGGAAAACAGGGTCGCTATAACAGAAAACTCAGAAGAGTGAGGTCAGAGGAACTCACTGTGGAGTGTGCTTCCAGCAATGGGAGATGGATCGTGGAAAAGAGGCTGAGTTAGACAGATGAACAGACAGTGAAGATGTGAGCAAAGCTAAGGGGACAGAAGTTAGAGCCCTCACCAGCACCATGCAGCAAATAAGCTCTGGGTGTTTTGAAGACTAGGGAACTGTGGAACGGCACCTGTAGGAGCTCTGGAGAGGAAGGGGCCATGTAAAGCCCAACAAGCCCAAACTGTGAAGGAAAACATTGAGAAATTCAGCTACACTAAAATTTAAACTTACACTGGAGCAAAAAGTGAAAAAAAAACCCACAAAAGTAAAGATCACTAACAGAGATTTAAGTATCCAGACTGTTATTAAAGAAAATCGGTAAGATAGTAGCAAGTAGCTCACTTATAAAAGAGCAAAAACCATGAATAGGAATGAACAAAAATGACAATACAAATAAAAATGCTCATCTTCCTTGATATCCCTTTCACACCCATCAGAATGGTGTAATTGTCAGGCAGGGGGGAGGCCAGTGGTCTCACCATTCTCTTCTCATGGGACTCCTTGGTGACAGCCAGGCTGGGTGGGAGCCTCCGGCATAGACAGACAAGGAAACATGTTCAGAAACCTGAAATAGCGAACACCTAGAGACAACCCACAGGTTCCTCATTAGGGTAGGTTATTGCTATTCATGATACTAAAAGCAGCAAGAATGAATTGTAATGATATATACCACACAGGTGGATCTCACAAAAATAACAAGCAAAGAAAGAAAATTCAGGGGGAGTGCATACGGTGTGATGCCATCACATGGCATGTTATATTTAAAACACGCAGGAACGATTTCATTTGTTTTCCAGAGTCTGACCAATCTACCCCTTCGGGTCCCTTCCCGCTGTGGGAGCTTTTCTGTCCTCATATCAATGTGTATGAGAATGATAATTACTTCAGCAAATGATAATTACCCCACCCTGGGAACAGGATGGAAACTCACCTTTTTTTATGTATGTGTGTATTATGTATGTATGTATGTGTTTATTTTACTCTTATTTTTTTGAGAAAGGGTCTTGCTCTGTCTGCAGGCTGGAGTACAGTGGTGCGATTATAGCTTGCTGTAACCTCAAACTCTGGGCTTGAGCCATCTTCTTGCCTAAGCATCCATGTAGCTGGAACCACAGGCATGTGCCACCACTCCCAGCAGATTGTTTTATTTTTTGTAGAGATGGAAATCTCACTATGTTGTCTAGCCTTGTGTTTATTTTTAAAATAGGGACGGGGTCTCACTATATTGCCCAGGCTGATCTCGAACTCCAGGTCTCGTGCAGTCTTCCACCTTGGCCTCCCAGAATAGCCACATGCTCGTGAGTGTGCTTACATCTACGACTGCCCTATTCCCTACCTAGGGCTGGTACCAACGCAGGGCCAGGTGCTTAGGCGGCTTGCTTGTTTACAGTGTGGACTGGTGAGGCTGTGAGGTGCCAGGGTGGGCCAGTAGGGACACCCACCTCTGGCGTTGGCATTGTCCGTCAGTTTAAAAGTGATAATAAAACTGTAAGGGCTGGTCTGTTTTTTTTAAATTAATAGTACCATGTACCAGCAATTTCAATCAATGTTGGTGATACTTTTTCCTGAGCAGAAATCTTTGGTTGATGTGGGCACTCAATAATTGTTGCTGTTTAGTTTTTGCTTTTGGTTTTTTTAAATCGGAGTCTCTATTGCCGCAGTCTTCCAGGTAGCTGGAACTACGGTGTGCACCACCATGCCCAACTAATGTTTTTTTATTGTAGAGACGAGGTGTCACCAAGTTGCCCTGGCTGGTCTCAAACCCCTGGGCTCAGACTGTCCTTTCGCTTCCACCTCCCAAAGTGCTGGAATTACAGGCATGGGCCACCACTCCCGGCTATTTAGTTTTAATGTCATAAAATTTTAGTGTCAGATTAGCACATTTTTATGACTTAAACTTTCATGAAGATTGTATTATTCATGGAAACTAATTTAGAGAACTCTGAGGTATAGCTGGCTCACATATGCAGACGCAGTCACGCAGTTGTCCCAAGACTGTTCACACAGCTGAGCAGCGCCGGGAGGCCCTGGGTGCAGCTCGTGCTTCCACCCCTGTGGCACCGTGGACTCCTGTGTGAGCAGGAGCTGTGAAACAAACAAGCATAGCTCCTCGCAGTTCTTCTTTTCTGAGGGTTTTTTTTCCTGGTGAAGTTTTAGGTGAGATTCATCAGACACTAAAGTATTTGCAAGCTACAGGGGTCAGCCCCGAATCAATGTCACTTGGTGCTTTGGAGATCGGCATCTCGACATTGTAAAGAAGGACAGCAACCATGCAGTGAGAAGACGTGAGGGTGTCAAGGAACCAGGTTTGAGGACAGCGAGAGCAATCAGAAGGGCATGTTTGAGCCCATTTTCCAGGCCTGGCTACATGTGCCATCATTCAGCCATTTTTCTTTCATTTTTGCAGAAAAAGTAAAATGGCAGAGGTTTTTACGAATATAAAATTGTATCACGAAGATGTGTTTTGTAGCAGAACTTTTTGAACGCAGAATTTTTTGAAAGTCATTAGAACTGACTATAAAGAAGTAGAAGTATGGACAGTACTGCAGTACTTGGAGTCACCGTGAAATGCGGCTGTTATAAAACTCTGCCACACTTAGCCCAGTGTTGGGGCTTTAGTGTCTGCATATTTGCTTCATCTGAAAGAACCTTGCGGAGTTGATTTTCC